CAACTTTCTGAGATGGGAGGGACGAACGGGCAAGTTACTTAGCAGCTGACAAAAATGCTGTTTCTTTAGCCCTTCTGCCTCACCGTGAAAACGAAGAGCCTCAACAAGATGGAGTGTCACAGTGGCAGTGTAGGGACACCAGTGATGCCCAAGCACCTCCATCCACGGAGGCTGATCATGCTGAAAACGGTGCAGCAAAACTTCCCGACTAGGCATACTAGCAAGAAAGCCCTGGCAGACTGCTTCAGAGGATGAGCTGGTGAAACCCCCTGGTCACAGCAGCCTGGCCCACAAACCGTCATCGAGATGGCTCGGTGACCGCCATGGGCCAGGGGCTGACCCGTCAGCACGTCTCAGCATCAGAAAGGAGGGCCAGCCCATAGCAGGGTCTATTGGGGTGGAGTGCATCGATGCCCATCAGTGGGACTGGGTCCGACAGGGATGCTGTGAGCCCAGCAGCTCAGGTGGTCTTAGACCCAGTAGTTGATGTCCGAGCAGCCCAGAGAGTGCCACTCCCCACCAATCTTTCCAGGCCCGGGCTGTGGGCAGGGCCCTGACCTCAGGCCAGTGGGGAGCCAGGCACAGAAAAAACCCACGACTGGGTCAGAGGTCAAAGCTTCAGTAGTGGTGGTGGGTGGGTGTGGTTCCTTCCAGGGCCGGGTCGGCAGCAGGGTTCCATAGAGCAGCAGTTCTCAACCTATGGGTCGAGACCCCTTGGGGGTAGAACAATCCTATCACAAGGGTCGCCTAAGACCATTGGAAAACACATATTTCCAATGTGTTTGGAAATGGTTCCATGGTCTTAGGAACCGAGACACCGCTCCTCTATCCATCTCCAGGCGGGTCTGCCCACATGCAGATACGCCCACATACGAGTACCCAGCGTGAAGACTGTTACCCATGCTACACCGTGCTTCAAGACAAAAGTATATAAATACATACTGTTCTTGTGATTTATCAACTATGCTTTAATTATGTTCAATTTGTAACAATGAAAATACATCCTGCCTATCAGATATTTACATGACAATTCATAACAGCAGCAAAATGACAGTGATGAAGTAGCAACGAAAATAATGTTATGGTCGGGGGTCACCACCACATGAGGAACTGTATAAAAGGGTTGTGGCATTAGGAAGGTTGAGTATCACTGCCCTAGAGGAAGCCAGGCTGCCTGGACTTCAGAAGAAGTGGCTCTCTGAATAAATGGACACAGCTGGTGCACACTGGAACCACCACCGCCCCACTGCCCCCCCAAAACCCACAGATGCCGTGTACGCGTCGCACTGCACCCACTGTTGTGGGTTCAAATAAATGACAGGCACTATAATGTCTGGAAATTTTAAGAGTCCTTTATTCATCTAGCTGGACTGCAAGGAAACTAAAGGGGTTTCCCTAAACTGCAGCCCCAAGTGAGATGACCAGAGAGTTTATACAGACAAACCCACAAAATTACTTGGCTCATTTGTTAGCGGCTCAAGCAAGCGCATGACAGAAGAGAAAGCAAAATTAGTGGATTAATTGAAACATAAAAGGGAACCATATCAAAGAATAGCGAGGTTAATCACAACGTCCTGATTCTGGGTACACACGAGTACACTCTGACATCAATAGCCGCCAGCGGGGCTTTCTGAGGCGGCCAGGGAAGCGGGCTGGTCCTCCAGCAGTCACCCAATGACGTCCTCTGGTCAGTTCCCTCACCCCACCTGTGAGCCGCAGCATCTGCTCAGAGTAAGAAACCAGTTCGTCCTGAAGAGGCACAGCCGGATGCTCCTGAGAGGCCGGTGGGGCGGGACTCAGACTCACCTACTCTGGACAAGTTGTCAGGAGAGACTGGTCCTTGGAGAAGGACATCGCGCGGGTAGAGCGGAGAGGCTGTGAGCGCGAGGAGATGGAAGGAAGCCGTGGTTGCCACAGCGGCTCAGACCTGGCATGAGGCGGCTGCCCCTGCTGCTGTATGAGTGGACCGGGCCTGCCAACAATGGACACACACACAGCTGTGCCCTGCTGTTCTGCAGCGTCCTGACAACTGTCTGTACCCCCCACCCAACCCCGCCGAGGACGGAGCAGGCGGGTCTGTATCAATGACATTTGCATTCGCGTCTCTCTCCCTAGAACATGGCCCAATGTGTCAAGCGCGGGTCTGCTCGCCCGAGGGTCAGCTCCGAAGCCACCCCAGCTGCCCCGAGGGAGGAAGACGGCCAGCGCTTCTGTGAGGACATGTGGTGTGGAAGCCCCCCACCCCCACCCCACCCCGCGCGGGGTGTGACTCCGCCCTTCAGGGTGGCCGTGCATCTGAGTGTACACAGCACAGCCGTGCCCCACTCAGTGAGGGCGGGGACGTTTTGCCCTGAATGCCTGTGGCTCTGCGCGCCCCGCGGCCCCTCCCACTTCTGCCAGTCACCTTAGCCAGGGGGACACCAGCCCTGGCGCAGGCCTGCGCCTCTCCTGTGAGACCCGGCATGGCTTCCTGGCTGGCACTATTCTCAGCTGCCCTGGGATGCGGGGTCTTCACACCAGGATCTTTCAGGGGATGCTGCCAGGTCTTCACTGTGAGTTTGAACCACCAGCCTCTGACCAGTGTCCAAGCACTGCATTGTGCCCTCTCTGCCCCCATACCACCAGGGGCAGGGCATCACTGCTGAGGCGTGGCCCTAAAGCCTCCCTTGTGGCCTGCGCTCAGTGCTGAGGGCCGAGTTCTATCTAACCCTGCCCCATTTGTGTGTCAGACTCTGTCTGCACTGGGAAATGTCCCTTGGAGACTTTTCTACCAACCTGAAACTGAATGAAGACACAAACCGAGAGGCCTACACCACCGGCACAGAGGCCGAGCTGCCCCACACCAGGAGGAGGACAGAAGCCCATCACAGGCCATGTTTGGTGGTTGCTCAGCCCATCACTGCCGCAGGTGGAGAGAGGTTTCCCTCACTGTCAGACCCAGGTGGGACAGACCCTGCCCCGGATCCCTTCTGAGTTGCATGTTGGGAGGGCGGCACGGATGCCAAGTGGGGGTCTCACACAAGCGAGGAACCCAGCAGCCTCTTGGGCTGCCTACAAGGAGGGCCCCATTGTAGCTGAGACCCCGGTTCGGACCTTTCACCCGCAGGCTAAGGGAGAGTGAGCCATGGCTGAGAGCGGCCTGCCTCTGGTGCCGGGGGACCTGAGCTGGTCACTCAGCGACGTCCTCTGACCCATGGGAGGAGGACAGCCAGCCAGTGTGGGAGGAACACTTGGTTTGAACACGTTGTCCAAAGGTGGCCACCACCCGTGACGGCCAAGAGCAGGAAATGGTCAGTGGTGAGCCTGACACGGTGTGCCTGTGGGACAGAGGGGACACACATCAGTGGTAGCATACCCATGGAGATGCCAAGCCCATGTCAGCCGCCCTCGCCCTGCTGCCCTTGGGACACCTGGCACTGTCACCAGGTGCAGCTCATGTGGATGCTGACAGGCACTGGGGGCTGAGAAAACGCTCAAGACTGGTGATCTTCCTGCACTCTGCATCACTGCATGTGGCTGCGGGAGTCTGAGGAGGGACTGATGGACTAGTATCAGACTGATGGACTAGTATCAGACTTATGGACTTGAGTTAGGCTGGGCTGGGCTGGGCTATTTTTCTCGATGTTGTAATTACTTCTTGATATAAAACTCTTTCTCACACATATATGGGTGTCTCTGGATTTCTCTAGCCAACCCAACCTAACACCCCCTCCCTCCCTGCCAACACAGTGGTGGGAGAGGGGGCTGGGGGGGTAGTTATGCAGACAGGGGCCTTGGGGGATGCCACACATCGACCCAGGGAGAGGCAGGAAAGGGGTCCCTGCTCCTACATGCCCTCAGCTGCAGCTCCCAGGAGATCACACACTCAGGCTGGGCCTCAGAATACCCCAGGCGCAAGCTTTAGCAAAATCACACACTGGTGCGTGCAGACACATTGGGCATTGAGGTGTGGAGCTCCAAGCCGCCAGCCACTCCTCATGGGCAAAGATGGGGCTCTCAGTTCCCATAAAGAGTGACAGACTCGGAAACCCACGGGGGCAGTTCCACCCTGTCCTATGGGGTGGCTGTGGGCTGGCTTGCACTCATTGGCAGGGACTTGTTTGCCACTGCCGTGTGCCAGCGTGTGAGCCCATCAATGTCAACCAGTGGGCATTTTCCTCCTGGGGGGAGGCTCAGGCCTGTGCACATCCCCTGCTCGCCCAGGGCTTTGGGAGCCTACATACTGGGCTGCTAACCGCAAGGTCACCAGTTCAAAACCTCCAGCCAGACAGGCCTTTCTACTCCCATACATAGGGCTAGTCGTCGTGGGAGGGGAGGAAAGTGGTCCCTAACAGGGTGCATTGCAGAAAGCAGTATGTATAGAAGATCAAAGGCATCAACCTGACCTGAACAGTTCACACTGTCAATACACACACACACCCCACCCCCAGGATCAGGCTGGGTCTCATTTGGCTTCCAAAACGTTCTCTACTTGGGTTTTGTATTGCTCCCTTCATTGTTGTTTGTTCTATTACTAGGGCATCTCAGGACCTCTTCGGAAGCTGTCACATGCTCCTGTCTCTGCGTATGAAACCCAGGACGGATGCACCTCTAGGCACAGCGGACAGAATGGGGCGCAGGGGCAGGGGCACAGCGGTGGTAAAAGGGAGATAACGTCAAGGATCCATGTAGAAAAAGAGGGTTTGGAAACTGATTGTGGTAGCAATCGTACAATTGTACCTGACATGATTGAACTGTGCAATGAACCATGTATTAAATCCAAACTAAAGAAGAAGAAGAAAAAGAAAGAGTGGCCATCTGGGAAGCCCCCAGGGGCAGTTCTGCCCATCCTGTCCTGCAGGGGCGTTGGGAGCCAGCATGGGCTCCGAAGGCTGCGAGTTTGGTTGTGAGGTGCTGTGGCAAAACGGCACCAAGGCCGGGCCAGTTTGGCCCGACAGGAAACCCTTTGGTCTTCAGGAAGCTGCGGCTTGCTCTCTGGCCAGTGGCTGGACTGCCGTGCCTTCGAGCTGGCTGTGGCTCCGTGATCTTCTACGGGCACCTCAGATGGGCACTGGGTTCCAGTCCAAAGACAGTCTTTGGACCATTGACTTTATACATAAGTCCCAACAGCCCAGTGCAGTTCACACTAGAGCTGGCCAGGAAGTCTGATGTTTGTCTGAGTGTACAGTATAGTGGTGTCAGCATGAAAACTTAGATCAATACTTCCCGGTACGCAGAAACTTGCAGCTGGACCCGAATTCTCCACGGTTTGGTGGTGGAGGTCTTGCTCGCTGTGTTGGTCTGGGTGGACTAGAGAAACAAATTCATAGACACTCATGTGTATAAGAAAGAGGTTTATATACAAGAGCCATTGAATATTGAGAAAAGGTCCCAGCCCAGTTCAGGTCAAGTCCTTAAGTCCAATATTAGCCCCTATGTCTGTTAGCAGTCTATAAAGTCCTCTTCAGACTCACAAAACACATGCAATGATGCCAAATGCAGGAAGATTGCAGGCCAGTGGGTAGAATGTCTTCTGGATCCAGTGGCGGTGCAAGCATCTCAGCGTTGGCTGGCATGGGTCTCCATGTGGCTCCTCAGCTCCTGGGCTCTGGCTCCATCAGTCTCTCTCCATGTTTCTTGTCAACTGCAGTGTCTCTCAGGGAGTGTGCATATGCCCCACCTCCAGTGAGCTATTTATCTCCTTAGCATCTCCAAATGAGGTCATCAAGCTGCGACCTGATTGACAGGCTCGACTCCATCCCTTCGCTCTGAATCCTCTCATATTGACAACTGATGATGTAACAACCACACATGACGTCCCACATGAGGCCAGCGAATAGTCCAAGGAGCCCATGAAATGGAAGAAGCTGCTGAGGGCTTCATCCCACCTGGGTCCACGGTCGGCATTCACAGAAACAGCAGCCAAGAGATCCAACGGCGCCCTGTGTTGGGCCAATCTGATGAGCAGCAAGGTCACTGAAGACTAAGGAACCCCTGACCCAAGCCAGGGCATTTTCAGCCTCCTCACAGGCCTGGGAGAGTTTGGCGCTGGGTGAGGAAGCTGAAGAGAGAGAGGTGCCTGTGGACACTGGTGCGGGGTGAATATGGAAAGTCCCGTGGATCGCCAAGGGGAGAAACAAGTCTGTCCCGGAGTAAGGACAGCCAGAGTGCTCCTGAGCAGCAAGGGCGGTGAGCCTTGGTGTCCCATACTTTGGACACATTGTCAGAAGAGGCCAGGCCCTGGAGCAGGACATCATGCTGCATCAAGTGGGGGGGCAGAGGAGAGGCAGGCCCTCAAGGAGGTGGGTGGACACCGTGGCAGCACCCTTGGCACCTGCACAGGACCCATGGCGAGGGTGGTGTTGATGGTGTTTCCTTCTATTGTGCACCAGGCCACCTCATGGGCACCCTACATCACCACCACCCCCACGCCCACCCTCACCCCACGCAGCACAGATGAGCACCGACGATAGCGTGAACCAGTAACCTCGATGCGCTGAGCCTAGGGCACGGCTGTGCCCGCTGTCTCGTGTGGATGTCAGGGCTGAGGCGCTGCCACAGCCAAACACGGTGACCCCCCAGGCCTAAACTAAAAGTGCCATCGGACCCGACTGCACTCGGAGCCAGAAAGTCTGGTTTCCCTGCAGAGCCAATGCTGTCTTTTCTGTGGAGGTGTAACTGCTTGGGAAACAAGGTCGGCAGTCAGGTTTCCGAGTGAGGCTGTCGGTGAAAACGCAGCCCATCGAGAAAACCTGCCCAGCTCGGTCCAAAGGCACGTCTTGCTCAGCAACGTCTCCCAGAGATGAAGAAATGGGATTGGAACTGAAAACATGTCGATGGAGCCCGTGAACGCTCCAAACTTTGGAAGCCAGAGAGATTAAGTGTCGGGGGCTGGTTGACTCCCAAGTCAGGGCTGCACTCATTGCTGTTTTCCACTGCAAACTCACCCTCCGAGGGGCAGCCTCTCCAAGGCTGTCGCTCTTCACAGAGGAGAACTCATGGGTTTGCACCACTGCCCTTGTGGTTAGCGCCTCAGCATGTGGTAGCACCCAGCACCCCACCAGGGCTCCTTTTATTGTGCCACCCAGTCGGCCCGCCCCACAGTGACCCCGCAAAGCAGAAGGAAACCCCGCACAGCAGAAGGAAACACTGCCTGGGCCTGAGCCTGTCTTCTCAGCCATGTGGGGCCCATTAGGCTAGCTCTTTGTCAATGAGTAACCAGGAGATTCAGCTTGTGACGCTCAAAGAGGCTGATTGCAGAAAAATCAGTCCCTGGCGGAAGGCTTTGTCAATCAACTCTCAGAAAGTAGCAACAGCAGGATGTAACCAGCCAGCCCATTTGGCTGTGGCAGCAGCTCAGCTCTGAAATCTGCATCATCCATGTGAACAAAGTGTCTCAGCTTTGTAACTTTTCT